TTTAAAGAGCTTCTAAAACTTTCTGAAACTTTACTGCAAGACCAAGGGAAAACTGATATTAATTCCACAAAGAAAATGACACTATTGCCCCTCATGTGAACAGTGTGGGAGAGCCCAATTGCAAGAAGACTAGATAATTTATACAACATACATACATATATTTACAACTGAAATTGGTTCATTTTCATGTCACCCTCCTTCACCTAAAGCAATTGGGACTAGACAATTTGTAACATATATTTATTTATTTACAACTGGAATTAGTCTGTTTACATATCACCCTCTTTCACCTAAAGAAGGTGTCCATGAGTGAACGGTATGGAAGAGCCCATTTGTAAAGGGGACTAGTCAATTAGCACCCTACATACTTTTATTTACAATTAGAATTAGTTCACTTACATGTCATCCTACAATAAGTATTATGAGAGCCAAGCGTCATTTTCTTTGTGAAATCAATTTGCCCCTTTGGTCCTGCAGTGAAGTTTCATAAACTCTTTGAAATTAATTCGGTCCTTAAACGAAATTTTTCCAAAAGAAACGTTATCCTCCATTTTACATTTGTGCGGTGTGTCACTTTAATACAATAAGCCGACGTGAAATCGACATTTTTCATTAAAAGAGACTAGCAATATTAATATTAAAAGATTAAAAACATACTTTATAAACTTCAATGATTAAAATTCAAACTTAATATGTAAATTTAGAAAACCAAATATATATTTTAGCTTAAAGCATGTTGAGTTGTGCGCTTGATTTCACCAAGATCACCAAACTACAATGGGCTAGCCTAATTAGATATTCCTTGTTGGTCACCCCTGTAATTAAAAATAATAAACATATGATTCAAATCCTAGAGATATCTTAAATAATTTAAGAAGCAGCACTCTTTAGGATTAAATAGATCTTTCGTGTAAAAAAAACAACCCTATTTAAGATTAAATAAATCCTTCCTATAGAAACATAGACAACAATAGGTAGAAAACTCAACAAAAAGAAAACAATTTCTAGAGGAGAAAGGAATGCGTGAAGTGTTTAAAAACCCTTATAAGCACTTAGAATAATTTTTATACAAATCAAGACAACTTTTTTTTTTTAATATTTATTTCGAATTTTATAAAATTACTTCTAAAAAGTTATTCCAAACTATTTACTCTTCAAATAGTACCTTTTCATGTCTACGCAAAGAACACGCACAAAAAAGACGCCTGCTCACAAGAAGAGGCCTGTCAGAAGTACTCTTTCTTTTGAAACACCCAAACTCAATATTCATAGTCCCCCATACGTGCCATACTCCGTGGAGTTTTAATAGGGGCTGCCAGACTTTCGAGTAGGATCTGGGGAAGTCGATGATGAGAGGTGGAAGTAAGAATTGAGTGTCCGAGTCATACTCATGTCGGAGAAAAGGAGAGCAAGCGAAAGAGCAAACAAGGCGCTGTGATCCTTGATACCATGTGACGGAAATAAATGAATGGAGTGGAAGAGTGAAGTCAAGAAGGAAATGAGGAAAGAGACGATTGGGAGAAACAATATTCAGACTTCATTAATTCTAAAGTGGTTTAGATGTATTTATACTAAAATAAGTACAGCCGAATTAGTTACAAAATAATACTAATAAATAAAGAACTACCTGTTTTCTTTACAATTACTCATCATTTACATATTTATCACAAAACTTCAATAGCAGTTCAAATGTAGTCTAGCATATGCTTTTTCACCATTTAGATCCTAAAACCAGGGATGCCACGTTGGATCCATCATGCACAGGTTTCTTGGATTCAAGGCCGCTTCAACCAACTCAGTAACACCCCTCTGCACTGGTTGGGGTGGATCCATAGGATTATCCTCCTAATTACAAGTAAATAGAAATATAAGCAGCAGCATTAGATTCACTTGGGGGTGAAAAAAAATATTTCAGATATAAAGGGAGGGAGAAAATCTAAACAAGGCATTTAACGTGACAGGAGTATTTGTAATGCTGGCTAACCTCCTCCGAGAAATTTTGTGGGGCTATGCTCTTCACCCGTGTAATAACATGTTCCACATTAGTGGTGACCTTCTGTTTAAAGTCATGGGGGTTCATAGAACCCCCTCCAGCTAAAGGGGCCATGGGCATTCCAAGTGGCCTTCTCCAAGACCAAGACAGCAGCTCATCACGGAAAAACATTGCAAGGTGATGCCACAGATGCGGGCTTTGCTGCAACATTAAAATTTGCAACTAAATTGACATTCTTGAACATGAATTATGATTAAAACATCAATATGAAACGACATATGCGCGTACAAGCTTGTAACTCTCACCTTAGGAGAAACAACAGCCTGTGCTGCAGCACACATTGAAGATACAATGAGGCCTTCCACCCCAAAGTGGGAGAAAAATGCTTGCATGTTCCTTGTAAGCCTGAATGGTACAGGCTCATTAAACTCAATCAGTCCATTTGCATCATATGCAGGGTGAAAATCAGTTTGGAATATTTTTCCAGTGTTTTTTGCAAACAAGATTTTATTTGGAGACCTTCCACCAATTTGTAGCATGAAAGACACGAAACTTGAAAGTGCCAACTGGATGGCAAATTGCTTTTTAAAAGCCCACATGTGATTGCCGCTTGGCAGAGTCTTGTACATATACTGTGAAAAGATGTTGTCAGTAACAAGAGTTTTCGTTATTTCATTGTAAGCCTGCAGCCGAAGATCAACAACAGCTTCAGGCGATATTTGCCCAGATATAGCCTGGTTCAACTGTTCCTTGAAATAGGTTATTGGAAGATCTGCTTCTCGGTCATTCCTAGCACAATGATTTTCATAGACCTCAAGGAAGGTGCTGTACATTAAATCATCTTCAACCATGCGAACCTGTCCGGACAACGTTTTACAGAAGGGTTCAGTAAATAACTTAAAATAGGATAATGGTTTCTCCTGCTGTCTGTGTGATTTTATGACAAACAATACCACAGCTGTTTATAAGAGGGGAATGCTATGGGTCCAACTGCGAAATAGATAAGGTAGATAAAACAACAATGTAAATGAAGAGTCATTCTGACCTGGGACCAAACAGGAATAATTATTGGCGTGTGAATGCATATGTGACGGCGTCTTGATTCTTTGTGTTTCTCAAACATTTGGTTCATCACACGGAAAAGCTGCAATATGCGCTCATCACTTCTGGCATTAGGAGTCAGAGATGTCTGGACAATGAAATGGCGTTGGGAACCATCAGAGCCAATTAGAGTCAAACGCCTGAAACTGCTTCCATGTCTTCGCACAATAGGTATATCAGCTGCAACCCTGTCCAACTTCACAGTATGATCTGGTGCAATTTCCTGAAATGAAATTCCATATTTAAATATCAATCAGCATAAGATGCACCAAAAACTTCAACTTGACAATAAAATCTGTAACGAACTGCAATAATAAGATATAACGATATATTTGGCAATTTGAAAGACAACCACTCAAGGGTTTACCTGGTCTGTGAAGTACTGCCCAGGAACTTCGACATCAATAACATGGAAGTCCCGCAACACCCTACTTTCTTCTTCCAATTTCAAGACTGCCGGAAACCTGTCTTCAACATTGCTTTGAAGAACATTTTTCCAGTGTTTTAATCGCTCAGTCAACTCAGACAGGGTGGCTGGGAAAGTGGCAGTGCTTTCAGGATCAAGATCACGCTCAAAATCCTGCTTGTATTCCCTCACAAAATCAACATGCTTGTTTATTGCATCTGCAGAGAAGCAAGCCCTGCAAACGCCTGAGAGCTCTTTTTTGAGAGACTGAGGAACTTCTGCAGTAGTAGCTGTTGGATATTTGTAACAGCGGTGGAGCAGAGCATTGACCACTGCCAGAAGCCTCTCCTCAGGAAGAGTGACAAACCTTGAACCAATTTCTGTTAGTAGAACCTGCAAAATACAAGGCTCATTGATATCATAAAAGTCAAGTCAATCTTAGTCAACAAATGATGTGATCTCAATATCACACAGTATGATGCATAGCATAACGTGTAGAATTGAATTAACATATGACGTGATCATATAGAAAATCATACTAACGCCTTGGTATCTTACAACCAGCACGGGAAAAAAAGCTAGATATTTTTTTAAAATATAAATTAACTACAGATCCAGGTTCACATGATATTTATACCCTGTTAACAAGTACCCATAACTGTGATCCACAGGCCCTTTATGATAACTAGGATACAGTACAATAAGATAATTTATTCAAGAACTAGCAGAAATTATTTAGTTTATTGTATCAAGTGTATAATTTTGAGGAACACGTCAACCTTTTAATTTTTTGATTTGTGTAACCAGTAGAGATGATCAGGAGGGAGGTTATCTAGATAACCATATGTGCCTCTGTAGCTTCTTAGCCAAGGTAAAAAAGAAGGAAAAAGAAACGTGCATCTAAAACATATTTTGTCAAATGAACATTACCTCAAGTTCACTAGCTAAATTAGCATGCTTGCTCCTAAGAGCCTCCATTATATCTTTCGCAGCATCAAAGCACTGGCAGCTGATGCTGCAAGACCAATTGCACCAGCACGCCTTAATGTGTTCTGACTACCTTCATTGATATTGGCCGAACCTTGCTGCAAAGGTTGGTCGTTTCCATTATGCATGCTGCTTTCTGCACTTGTAGACCTTTCAGGTTCTTGCCCATGGGAGTTTCCACCATCATGGGATCCAATTCCACCACCGGACTGGGAACCTTGGTGAACTTGGTTGTCAGATGATAAGGCACCCCCACCTGGTCCTTGTACTCGTGCATTTCCATCAGCCAACCCACCAAGAGAACCTGCACTAGCACCAGAAACACTTTGTTGTGCTCTCTGCTGAGCCATTGCCATTCTTCCAATTTCTGATTTATTTGCAACATCACGTCTCTCCAGCAAGTATGTGCGTAGCCAATAATAAAGAGCCTGAAGTTCAGGAAGAAAATCAAAATCATTCAAGTTCTATATAAGCTACAGTTATGGATCCGTATAAGACTTGCCTGAGGATACACAATAGCAATCTTCAGTAGAACAAGTTTGCAACGAGGAGCTTCTGTTCTCTGTAGGGAGAGCAAGAGTTGTGGAATCCAAGAGAGCCAAACCCAATGAGGTATCTGGTCCAAGTATTTATCAAATGCCCTTCCTACAGGCTCACTAGGAGTATCAAAGCTAAGAAGGTAAAGCACTCGAGCTAGGTGGCTTCTCGAATTTGACACGCCAAATTTTACACCTTGTAAGAAGCAGCTGACAGCATATTCTAACCAAATCTCTTCCTGGGTCTCTCTGTACGCCTATCAGAATCATTTGAGAAGTAAGCACAGATCTCTAAGTCAAAAGTCATACTTCTTTTTTTGGCCAAAAGTCAAAAGTCATACTGAATGCATGAAAAACAGAAAAGTAATTACCATATCACAGTAATTTCCCCAGCTTATCCATCCCTTGGGCAAGTTTTTGAAAAGACTGATGGCATTGGAGTATGCAAGGTTAGCACTTTCAGAGTCATTTAATTTTAAGAGGAAATCTCCTTTCAGGCGGAAAATCTCTGCCTTGTGCTTTGGAGGGAAATACTCTAGATTAGTAGTGTTAATCAGATTGAGACCACTTGTTAGTTCTCCTTTCATTTCTAAATATGCCTTTGCCTGCTCTGTTATTTTAACAAATGCTTCCTGCAAATATACAAGAAAAAATAAGTGAGATGAAATCCAAAGTAGCCCCATCACATCAAAATTGTTCATGGCCTAACAGAAAACAAATCGGGAAACAAAAAAGCATGATGTGCACACAACCACTCAAACCATAACATATGATTATCGGCATTTCCATGTCTTACACGTATCACTTATCAAAAGCTTAAGTCGATGTAAGTTGCAAATGTCACAAGAAACTTGAGGTGATGCATGTTGAGTCAACATTAAAGACTAGGCTCCCATGCAACAAACTAAGACCCATGGTTATAATATTTTCAAGCAATGAATACAAGCCCATTTATATGCCTGAAGTCAAGAGACAAGATAATCTCCGTGACACATTGCCAAAACATGGATAACGGACAGCAAAGAAGGAAGAGAAAGAAATTAAAAGGCATTTACAATGAATGCATAGAAAGGGAATTTCCTATTAATGCAAGAAAAAAATAAATAGCTAACTAATAAAGAGGAAACCCCCCTAATATACAAAAACTAAGATGCATCAATAACTCCGCCAAGGAAGTTAGGAATGTCAGATTTTCATTCGCAAATACTGTTTCAAAATTGGCAAAAGAATATTTTGCATGCTTTTACCTCAGCATACTTCTAAAATAATAATTTTAATAATATATACACATTAAATTGATCCATAAATTATTATACTTCTTTCCTTTGAAGAACATGTAACTCATAATCAAGTGACTTTAGAGATAATCAATAATGCATGTTGACGTAGCAAAAGGTAAGCAGTTGACTCAAAGCTTGAGCCATTGGAAATGCTAGTCATATTACCTGCACTTCCATGGTTGAGTGCCCGTACAGCTTTTCAAGTATTGTGACACAAACATCATATAGGCCTTGCTTACGAGCAATGTGAGCAAGCCTGTTCACATTCCATGCTTTGTCACGGTAGCCAAGGTGATGAAGTTGTGAATTTGTGGAGCTAAAATCTTTGAAAGCATCTATGACAGCATTATACATTTCATTCCTCCACTGCAGTAGGTCATACCAAACAGACATATGATCCCATTCATTTGGAGTTCTCAGTCTCCATGTCTCAAGAATGTCCTTGAGATCTGCATAAAGGTTTCCTTGCACACCACCTACAGAGTTTCCAGAGACTTTGTTTCCATTGGAAATATCCAACAGAATTCTGGATGACTCCTTAACTTCAACTATTTGTTGGAATTGCTGCAGAAGGGGAATTTTGGAATGAACAGACATTTCCGGCAGCTGCCACCACTGTTCTAGTGCAAGATCAACACCTTTACCCACCATGTTGTCAGCATCCACTATGCCATTTGTGTTTTTGTCATGAAGGGCAAAGTATGCTTGAATCAAACGAAGTTTTGGAGTTTCTTCCACTTGAGCTTTAGGAATTACATGATCCTTCATATATGTCCAATCAGGCAATTTCCAGAGACTGTCAAGAAGAATTTCATAATTCTCAACACTCTTACCAAAGTCTGCCAAGGCATCCCATTGACTAAGTTGACTGGCACAGTATAACCATTGCTCTTCCCAGAGACACATCTCAGCCTTCGGCACAGTGTTGTTATAAGTTCCTTGAGTTGCCTTCACCATGGCTTGGTAAAAGAGGCTTTGAGCACGCTGCCAATAACCATGCTGAACAAGAGAAAGCCCTGCCCTAGTTTCTGCAGTGATTGATCGTTTCTTCCACAAGCCACACCTCATATCTTCTTCATTAAGCAAGCGATACAGCTCAGCCAGAGACTCAGCGCACTTGGTATCATTCATGAACAGCATAACATGACTTTCAAGTAATGCTAAAGCAATGTGCCATGCATTATAAGTTTTCCCAACATATTTGATGAGTTCACTTGGCATTCGCGGTTGAGGATGACTCAGCTGAAGCCCTTCTAGCAGAGCTTGCACAACATTTGGTCTGCTGGCTTGCTGCCTCTTATGATAATCTTTAGACAGAAGAGTAATCATTGGTTTTGCCAGTGTCACCTGCTCCTCTTTATGTAATGTAACCCAGACAATTGGAAACACCAAGACCCACAAATGATAGGCAACATTAGCATCTGTGTGGGCCAATTCTCGCAATGGAATTAAAAGATCAGCCACCTGAAAAAAGGAAAAAAAAATGAGAGAAGATAGAAATTTTCCAATCTAATAATTTATTTCAGTTGGCTGACACTGCCGCAGAAAACACTAATGAAACAGAGGAACTTCTCAACCAGCCAGGGTGAAGTAAATAGCCAAAACACCATAGGTGGAAACTTTCAAAACCTAGCCATCTTATTGGCAAAGTAAGTCTAATACTGCAAGTAGGTAACAAGTTTATTCATCCTTGAGTTTCACCTATGAATATTATCATGAAAAGCAAACTCAGGATGTTGGAGATAAGCTCATTGATATGCTGAACAATAATTGCAGCTAGAGATCAAACATCAATTACTTTACCTGCAGTTTGCTCATGTTGTTAAGAAACTGGGCGTGCTTATGCACCAGGGTCTCAAATGTCAGCGGAGAGTCCTCAGTACCTTCAGAGACATCATTGACCTTGTGCTGCATTCCTGATGATTCTGGAAGAGTGCTTGAAACCAGAAGCGGTGGAACCCTGGCAGAATTTGGTGCTAGTGTGATAGGCTTATCCTCAACTAATATTGCCAGAAGAAGATCAAGGCCCTGCTTCAGCCAGAAGACATCACTCAAGGCCTCCCAATCTTGAATTTGGACAATGAACTGGAGCCTAGTGAATAGTGATTTCCCAAGGGATTCATGATAGAGAGAGAAAAATTTCATCCTAACTTCAGGATCTTTGGCTCGTAGACCAAGCATGAACTGCCTTTCAACCTTCTGGAATACCTCTTGACGAAGGGACAAAGGGTATCTGAACACATACAAAAATAACTAAGACAACATATAATGCAAGCACGGTGCAGAAAGTCACAAGTTCATTACTTACTTATTAGAATCAGCACAAATCCCATAAAGAAGTCCTAAATATTTCCTATCCCACTCTTCCAAAGAAGCAGGAGGGAAGTTTTGTTTATCAACTTGTGAAAGCTTCTGAAGAAATGAGACTATCTCCTTTGCATTGAGAAAGGAACTTGACGTGACTGATGTGCCTTGCTTACAAAAATCATCTTCAATCCATCCTTTGATTACATCAAGTATGCAAAGAAGCACACTAGCATCAGTAGCTTTCTCTGAGAGCAACGCATTCAAGATTTGAGACACTGATCGTTTGCAGTCAGGAACAATCATCACTCTTTCAGTGATCAGCTTCAAGATAGATTTTAAATTAGAGATTACCGCTCCAACATCAGAACCTTGGCGAGAAGATGTGACAGCTGAATCTGTATCTGCCCTCTGACCCTAATAATGAAGGAAAAGTCTCCCAACTTAATTCATCAAACGATTGGAAATTAACTTTTAAAATAATAATCATAATAATAAGCCTACTGTAAAAGTACAAATTATGGAGCAGATAATCAACAATGCAAGATACATTAAATCACATTAGGAAAAGCAGAAAACTCAAGCCCCTACAAGATTCATGCATGATTATAAAATATGATTTGTTGGGTTTCAAACTCATCACATAAAACTCAAGACGGTGGAGAACTCACGCTCAAGAGAACTCAAACTGTCCATCAGCCCATATAATTTCATATGGTGTTTGCTCGACATTACCATTGATTTTCATTAAACTATTCTAGTTACTTACTTTGTCGTGTTAACTAAGACTTTTTTGTATTTTCAGTTATTTTTTGGATTACATTTCTGGCATTTAATTTGAGATCAAGTGTTCTATTTAAATAAAAACAAGATAAGATTGTGTTATGTTTTAATGAGGACAAAGTTACTCCATTTTAATTAGAATAAAGTTGTGGTCTCTTTTACTACTAAGTAGAAGTCTATTCTCTCTTTTATCATTATAAATGTAAAGTTTCTATCTAATAAAATATGTTAACAGAAAAAATAAAAACTTCGAAATTTTACATGGCATCATGCTTGAGAGGAAGGCCGCATTCTATTATGTGGTCATTCTATTAGGGTTCTTGAAGTTTTTTAGTTATTTTAATCCTTTTAAATTGTTACACAGTGCCAGCAGTCTTGTGGTCTAGTGACACACTATTGTCTTCATTGGCGTTCAATTCCACATGCCACCACTAGTACCAGGAAAAAGTTGTTATAATCTGTACCAATATTAAAGGATTGGATATTACCCCGTCAGGATACCTGTTATAACGGGCCATTAATACCAGGGCTCCTCTCTCACGTGTATATACTCCTTTTTTCTGATTATGAAACAGAAACAAGGAATTCATATCACCTCTCTCTATATGGTATTAGAGCCTTCCTTTCGGGTATTATATTTCTCCTCTATTCTCTATTAGTGTCAATGGTCTCGTCCACTATCTCCTAAATTCTCCTCTATCCAATTTGAGGATGCTCTTAGAGCTTTAATGCTTAATGTATACTTGTCACATACGCTTGAAAGGACTTTAGGGGTTTCAACCGGCCAGTCACTGGATTTGAAATGAAGTTGAACAAGGGCTGGAATTGATTTTGATCGCAATGGAAATGGAGATAGAGATGGATATGGATAAGAAAATGGAAATGGGGTTTAAAAGAGTGTTTGGTATGCGCATGAAATTTTGGTATAATTTTATTTAATGTGTTTTTAGTATGAAAAGTTCAAAATGCCTGATGCAACACACACTCTCAGTTTCATGGAACGATGATGATTGAGGGAGAGGAACAGAAGGAAAGAACGAACAAGACAGAGGGGAAGGAAGGGAGAGAGAATAAGAACTGAGAGGAAAACAGCAGGGAGAGAGTTCACATAGCTCAAAAATATCATTCAACATATCTATATCACATGAGTTGCATGAAAGCTATTTATAGAAGCTACTGTTAAGGTTTCCTTCTCATGAAGGTAACATTAAAACAAAATAGAATATTAGGTTCCTTCCATAGGTTTCCACAAAATATATCATTCTTGTACTCCATCGATGCTCTTTATTCTCAATATTCTCCATCCCAATGCAGCACAGGTAATACCACAATTGAAGAAGCAAAAAATCAAACACATAATTGAAATTCAAAAACTCAACCCCTCCAAACAAAGCAATCAAACCCAAAAAAAAAAAAAAACTTGATCTAAAACATGAGGTCCAAAAATCTGAAGAAGCATCAGAAGCAAAAAAGGCCATAAATATTAGAAGCACTAAGAACCACCACGGAGCCACCAGCGGTCACATCAAAGCACAAATGTCAACCATTGAGTCAGCAACGACCACACCGATTCACCGACGTCCACCAGCAACCCAAATCTAACAATGAAGATAGCGACTTTTACAGATTTGGTGCTTTTGATCTTCCTCTGCCTTCATTGGAACCTAATACTTCCTAGATGTCGAGGCCTTAGACCTTCTTGGTGTTGAAGAGAAAAAAGTTAAAGTTGAAGGTCCGAGAAGGAAAAAAGTGGAAGACGAGGAGATCGATGTAGGATTTAAGGAGAGGAAACCAAATGGAAAAGCCTTGGATCTCTTTGACGACTCCAGATATTTGTAGAACAAGTAGAATAAGCCATATCTCGTGAGGCCAATACTGGGGAGGTCAACAGTGGCGATAGCGCCAATGAGTGGCAAAAATGAATTATTGGAGGGGGAATTGTAAATCTCAACTTTTTTATGGAAGCCAATTGTATTGCTAGGGAGCTCTTGATAAGGAGACCAATAGACAAGTTGCTAAAATAGAAAGCACGGGAGGATCGACCCCTATTTAGCGTACTAGCAAACTTTGTGATGGAAATCAATTCCATTTCCATTTGCCCCAATTCTAGAGTACCAAAAGGCGCATAAAGCATTAATTTGAAATAAAAACCCTTGGCTGTCTAAAATACTTAGGCATGGAGATGGCCAGATCAAGGGATTGTCGACAAGATTGTTGTCTCATAAAGGAAGTACACCCTAGATAGGCAAAATACAATATTATAAATCCAACTAAAGAGCGTATAGCAATCGTATAAAGAATAATGCGGTACTTGAGATGAATCTAGGTAATGGAATCTTATTTAAAATAAATGTTCTTGAGATGTTGTAATCAATATAGAAGCTGATTCGACTAAGTCAATAATTCCTAGAAGATATACTACAGGGTATAGCACTTGTGCATAGAGAAAGCAAGCGACCTCGAGGAGAAAAGATCTATAGAAGTATTGCTAACAAGTCACCATGCTACAACTATTAGCATCCTAAATAATCCAATACAACACAATAGAACTAAATATGTGGAACTTGACCAGAATTCCATATAAGAAATGCTTGGCTTGCCAAGTCGTTAATATATTGACCAAGGGTCTGACTACAGTGGGTTTGAAGAACTATGAAGCAAGATGAGAATGCTGAACATCCATTCTCTAGCTTGGGGAGGAGTGCTGGAAAGGGTGGTTGAATTCCATTATAAAGTCATTCTATAATCTTCTACTTATTTTTATCCTTTTATATTGCTATTATGTTTCCTAGATTCTAAAGAATGAGTTGGGGAGATTCTTAAATCCCTAAACCTAAACTTTCCCTACTTAATGTACTGATTTCACATTCAATAAAATTGAACCACTGGGGGCCGACAATCCCAGTGGTATTATTTGTCACATTCTACATGTTGCACCCTACTAGGCATGAATAACAATGTATGGGCAAGTAATGACACTCAATACCAAAAGAGCCAACAAACCTACCAATAGTTGGTAGGTGTGAGGAATGAGGGAAGTAAGAAAACACAGAATCATCTACCATGGTGGCTCATGGTACAAACAATCCAACTGACTTCCAACCAAGAAGATAACGATATCAAAAGATGGGGTATATAAGGAGAAAAAGATATCTTGCTCAAGTTGGTATTGGAAAAGACAACTCACAATGCTTGAAGAAAAGCTCCAAGCAGAAATATCCAACTTGAATTAGAGTATTGAAATAAACATTGATTCAAAAGGTTATTACTATTATATACATACATGTTCAATTAAAGCTTATTTGCTTTTAATTTGTCTGCTTGGATAACATTCCTATGCATTTAAGATTAGCTTAAATTAGAAAAAATAAGGTTGATTGCTTTATTTTAATTTGAATAGAGTTATGTGATCAGGATGAACTTCTCTTTTCAGGAGTTATATGTTTTAGTTGGCGTACAAGTCTTTCTCCATTTTATCATCTAGAAATATAACATTACTTCCATCTAATGGAATAAGTTCATAGGAAAGGTTTTTCAGTGAAGTTCAAAGGAAATAATACCCGAATTCAGTATTTTTATCAGAACAGACTAATAAATTGGTATGTCAGATAAAATACAATCAAACCGAGGCAGCAGAAAAGGAAACTCCAAAGCCAGAATGGACTTGCATGTAATTGGCAGGGTCAGGTCCAGTCCCAAAGCCTAATATGTATGCCACCTTTCCATACAATGTGCTCAGAAAAAGGATGATGGGAGTTCAAGGGGATGGAGAGAACGGAACGAATAGAAGGATGATGGGATGGAACGGGAATAAGTCCACCTGCCAAGTAGTTCAATTGGCGAGGGAGAGGAATGATTCTCAATTCCCCTCATACTCCCCAGTGCCCAAATCTATTCCCTTTGGGGCAACTGATTAAACAAATTTAACATCCTTGAATCCAAAGAATGAAAGTGAAAATAGAAAAGGAAAAATGCTGCTTACTTGTCTTGAATGAGATCCCGCTGATGAACCCATATCACGTTGTAATCGTTGAAGGATGCGAACTAATATAGAAGGTTCAATGAAGTTTCTTTGCACCTCCATCAAGGTTCTAATAACAAGCAATAAGAAACTAATTGAGCTAGCAACATTATCATCACCAGATGTTTGAGGGGCGGTGACAGTAGATACATGCTTCTGGATCAAATCATCCAGCTTCTGGCTCAACAGTTTTACATCTGCTGGTGTTGTAGCTGCTTCCGGAGGAAAAGCAACAAATATCATCTTCAACAGGGAGCAAAAAGACTTCCCACCATCTAACAATTTATGCTTGAAACATGGTTCAAGAATCTGGGAGGAGACACGAATGACTTATTACAAATGTACAATTTGTTCAGCAAATCAAATAAAGAAAACAAATAGAGGCCTACTTGAGATATCTGGTTAATGTTGTTTCTTATGAACAAGTGTGGCTGTTTCTCCAACACCTTGTTCATGACATCCAAACCCTGTGCCAGAGCTGTAGAAGGGTCCTTTGCCTGAGATGGTTGAATACTGCTCAGCAGCTTTTCCAAATAATTAAATTTTACGTTGGCATTAGGCCACACTTCCAAAGCTTGTGAAAGTAACTCCAAAGCTTGTTTATACATAGCACTCGCCTCTTTATCCTTAGGCTCTATGACCAGTGCAACCTAATTTTACCAGTAAGAGTTAATAATCATAAACAATGGGTATTGAGGAGTGGAGGGTTGCTAAAGATACAATCAATCATAATGCTTTCACTTAACTTTCAATTTTGCCTCAACCAGTACTACCACTTCTATCACATTTATGCATGCAGATCCAATTGTTCTTGGTTAAGACATGGAGGGGCAGGTAAAGATAACAGTGCATATGTCAAAACCATTTGCACAACTCAAAATGAGTTTATCAGAGAGATGGTCTAGCACCCGTTTAATCCATTATATATGGGATATAAATTCCTCACAATTGGAAGAACCTATGGAGTATTTAAATAGACAGCATCAACGCTATGTAATGGTAAAATAGCAAGATTAGAATAAAGCCTCACTCTGATAAGAAAATTAATAATCATTTCCTCCATAGCAGCATTTGGTTTGAATTCCTCATCAGGTTGACTAGCAGACCCTGGAGTTTCAATGTTAGGAATTGATGATGGACCACCAGGTGACATAACACATAAGGATTGCAAACCAGGTTCCACTTTTACTCGCTTGGTTGCATCATCAGGAAATGTAGACCCATCTATGGATCGCTTAGCATCAGCTGAGCTAGTGGTAAAGTCATCATTGATCTGACTGGGGGCTTCAGCATCAGTTACAGCTTTCATTTCATTTTGCCTTTGCCTCTCCCAGTTAACAACTAATCCAGCAAGCTCAATGGCAAGACGTCTGTTTTCAGCTGTGGTGTTGTATGGCAATCCAAGACGACTCAGAGAATTCACCATCTGAGGAACAAATTGCGCTCTGCAGCTGTAGAAGAGATCTGAATGGCGAACAATAAGCTGGAATATGTGAATAAGGTTGGGAATTGAATGACCTTCTTCAACTAGGATCTTCTTAGTATATCGGATCCATATGGGCATCCGGGAATCACCAAGAGGCAGACGGCGTGGCAATGCTGGCATCAATATGTCAAGAGCCTGCTTGACCAACATTTTATTTTCTGGCTGACAAGTCCTAAGGAGTGCTACAAAAACCTGCAGTTTCAAATTTTTGTTAATGGTGGACAATATGTACAAATATGGATAAAAATATCCCATATTTGCATACGATTCCAAAAATTCATCCCCAGACTGACTATAGATCAAACTTGAAAGTCTTTATGTGAGCCTGGTTCAGCAATAAGTTGATTTTAATCAACCTAGTTTTGGATGAGCCATTAAAAGCACAAGAACACAGCAAATTCTTTTAAGATTTTTCCATTTCCATGCAAGTATTCTTGCAAACAAATATCAGAATTACCACTGCTAACTGCAATCAGCCTAAAGTACAGAATAAAGCAATGACATAAAAGAAGCCAGTCCCATATATACATGTTACAACACCCTTCTTGCAAGGATATAATATAAATAATAAAAACCAGGAAATACATACACCAAACATTTCAAGGTATAACAAGGTAAACTATCATTCTAGACGAAAAAGAAATATAGGAAAATGAGTTAATAAATAATCACAAAGTGCTCAAGAATTTTTGTTAGGAGGTTCAAATGTTAAACTCTCACTCCCACATGCAGAGAAACCACTGCAACCAATTCATCAGGATAACTAGCCCAGAAGCATGATTCTGGGAACCATACTGACTTGGTTAGCTCAACTGGTTGAACCAGGAATCAGTCTAGTGTCCAATCTGGAAAATGAAGAAAACGAGAACTCACCTAAAAGAAAACCTGCTTTGAACGGGTCAAAACTAACATTTTGACTAGTTTGGTTGGTAGTGTTTTTCTTAAAATGCAGCAAACAAAGGAGAAGCGGTGAAGAAGGGGGAATAAGAGGAAAAGGAGAACAGAAGGTCCCAGAATGTTAATAGGAAACAAACAAATTGATGTTAGGACCACTTTTGGAAATCTAGGAAAATACATGTTAAGGGAAACGTACCTTTTTGTTATTGACTTGCTATTTTGAAGAAAGAGTAGGGTAGCTATAGGACCACTGTAGTCAAAGTATATGAGTCCGGGGTTGTGAAAGTCACTTTCTGGGTTTTTAATCCTTCTTATGGTTGACAGAGAAAGGTAAAGAAGAATTTTGAGGTGTGGCTTAGGCCTTTGAAGGAAGGAAAGCCAATCCTCTCAATGATCTTGTTGTGTCTATGTTCTAGAGTTCTTGTCCTGTGTGTTGTATCTTGAGTTGTCAGAGATGGGGGTGTGTGTATTGTATCTTTTGTTTGTCATGTTTTGTAATCATCTTATATGCAGTAACAGTATTGTTAATCTCAAGGACTCCCATTCTTTGTTGTCTATTCCTGGTTTTTAGTCGTCTTGTGAGTTTGTTTAGAAGAGGGTTCTATCAATCACAAAGTGGTTTTAAAGTACACAGATCTAAACCTTCTTTTGTTCTTGTAGTGCGATGCAAGTTTGCTAGAAATCTTGAAACTTGAAAGGAGTTTTGCAAGAAAAGCGAGAGAAGAAGGTGGAATCATGGAGAGTCGGATTTTAACTGTAGTTTGAACCTGAGTAATGACAAATCCAAATGAAAGCTAACTGAAAATCTCAAGTTTATACCTCTGTTGAGAGAGAAAAGCTATAAATCAGAGTGATAGAAAATATGGGAACAAATATCTTAGGAAAAAATGATAGAACATAGGAGTTAAAATATTTTGGGAATAGCTTACCATAAAAGAGAGCTTTAATTTATTTATATTATCTTTTGGGCAAGTGCCAAGATATTTTGCTAGCAAGTTGTTATGCAAGCAGATGCATTTTCATTACAAGTGCCAAGATAGTTTAGCTGTTATGCAAGTGGATGCCCTTTTCTTTTTATTATTTGCAAGTTGATGGAAGAAGCCTTAGTCTATAAATAGGAGATCTTATGTACTTTGAAATTAGATTCTGATGAATGAATGATATTATGAGTTATGTGATTCTCTCAAGCCTCCGTTCTCTCTCCCTCTTTCTGATTCTCTCTCCTTTTCTCCCTGTTTCGGTCACCCTTTCCCTTCCACCATCTCTGTTTCTATCTCTACTCCCTTAAATCTCTTCAGTTTGCATCTATTCAAGTGTGTGTGAGGTAACAGAGCCTTTTCGTTGGAATCTTGTGAGGAGAAAGAGGAAAACAAAAACGAATAAGCCTGGAAGAAGAGGCAGCGTAGCTCAGTAAGACCTGAGGTGGAGCCACTCAATGATCTTAAATTAGCGGAAGTCCAATAGGAAAGCATACATTTGTGCTTCTCGAGAAGCAGAGAAGATAAAATTGAAACTTTCGAAGTTTAAACTTCTGGTCGCACACCTATTTGCCTCAGCAATTTGGGAATTTGAAAAGTTGCATCTCAAGGAAACTTTAGTTCAAATAATGTTTTGTGCCATCCATTTAATCTTCTGTTGATTCATTCATTGGACCAGAAAAAAAATATATAATTAGCTCATTCAGTATCAAGATCATAAGTTATCAATGAATGAATATGATAGAGAATTGTAAAAGAGAGTGAAAGAGAAAGGAAAGAGCAGAGGAGAAAAAGAGCAACTGGAATTAACTGAATAATTCGATAAATCAAAACATGAGGAAAACTGATCACTACACATATTTATAAGTCATGGTAAGTCCTCATCCTAATTAAATATCTAACTCAAAACCTTAAATATCTAATTCAAATAATAAAATATTCTATCTAAATCTTAATAAAACATTCTACCCAAATCTTAATAAAGCAAACTAATAAAATATTCTAAATAAACTAACCTTACTACCCTTGACCACTTATTTACAAATCACATATTAGAACAATGCAATAATCGGAAGAGAATTAAAATTTGATTGGAACGCCATTTTTTAAAAGAAATTACATGTTAAGAAAACTATTAAAATTTACATTTTCATACATACTAATTTTTCCCATACATGATTAGGTGATAAATGTATTAATATAACATTACATTAATTTAGATAGGACTGGTTTGACTGTCCAACCAGTTCGACCTGTAAACCAAAACATTGACCAATCCGGCCTGACATCCCAGAAGCATTAAATATAGAAAATGCATGCTAAGTAAAGGAAGTTCCTCAGTGACCTGAGTACAGACCATTTAAACAAAGATCCAGGCTTGCATACCTGAAGTATTATTTTTTCAGGAGCCTGATAAGCCTCCAAGAAATGGCAAACATTCACAAACGCCCACTGTTTGCTTGCAGTGTCTTCGCGCTTCAAATGATTCCACCCAAACTTTATTAATTCCTTCCGGTGATGGACGAGATCATTCTGAAGATATTTAAGGAGCAAAGTGGCAAGCTGCAACAATTCTATTCGTAAAGGCTCGTCATACTCAGCAGAAACCTGAAGAAGGGGAGCAAGATTCATTGAGGTACCAAACTTACTGAACCAGAAACTGGATCAAGCAGACTTCACAAATTATGAACAGGTCCAATAACAAGCAAGAACAAATATTAAATTCCGCATAGCATCAGGATATACCTCTTCAGGAGGATCAAGAAGTTTATCAACGATTGTTTTTATAATAGCAGGATCAACAACCTCCCAACTTTGCCCATTTTGAAAGGCATGAGCTAACATAGGAAGAATAAGCATTTGCATTACAACCACCAAATGGTCATGACCAAGTTGTTTTGATTGAAAAAGGTTCAGAAAATGCAACAAGAGGGCCTTTTTCATGCTGGGCGGATAACCTTCGGCAACCTAAAAGGCACCAAGAAAATTTTCATAACATTCACATAAAAATATGAATTGACACCTCAAGAGATGAAATTTAGACATAACAAAATACCTCAATGATATAAAACTCCTTCAGGAATGTATAATCAATACGGCTATGAAATAAAAATATGGTAAGTATATCAAACAGAACATTCACTTCATTCTTATCATGCCTCAAGTAATTCAGAAAGCATTTGACAAGCCACTTGCTTTCTTTAACCTGCAATAAATGATAATGAAAGCGGGTTAGCAGGCTAAAATTGATAGCATCTTTTGTCACGTCAATCCAAGATTTGGACCATTTAATGAGCTCATAGAAAATAGCTATGTCAAATGTATAATTTGTCAATGAAGTGGAGAAAATTTGGGACAAGTTGGAGAGAACTCAAAAGGAAAATACAGCAGAATCAGCATTTGAACAAAAAGGCAAAACATAGAAAATATCATACAGAGTCATAGAGCAATACAAAACCCATAATGCGGACCCAATGACAGCAATAAAAATTATACATGGGAGTCTGTGGATAAAAAAAAAAAAAAACACATCTTAACGCAAAGACATCTTTGCATGGTGTTATAATTAAAAGTTGCAATATTCTTCCAACCATACATTATGCATGGATTAATTGCTTGACAGAATTTCTAGACAGTAAAGGTACAATGACACACGATATTACAAGAAGGCACAAAATGTGGGGGGGGGGGGGGGAAGCTGTACAATGACATATAAATTGATGCATTTCTATAGCTCATGCGTATTTTAACATCCAATTAATCATTACATTGTATATCAATAAGATCAAATTTCAGGCAAACCAAAATGGGAACCAGCAACGAAATAATGTCATTCATAAAAAAAATATTCCAAGCATGATCCAGGGTGATGAAATTGGTCAAATCTATACAAAAGTCTAAGCAAGCAATGCCAGCACATTGAAGTTAGCTGGTCATGAGATCTTACGGAGGCCTTTGCTCTATCTTGGGATGCCTTAGAGCAGAAATCAATGATAGAAAAGAACCAAAACATTGATAAGGATTTTTTTTTTTTTTTTTGGGGCCAGCGATAAGGATTCTGGTTAGCTCACAACAACCAACAACAATAACTTATCTGATATTAAATTAAGCTCTCTATTTATCATATTACTTACTTGTACTAGGCTCAACTCTTGCTCATTTTGCAGACGGGATATTCTAGCAGGTGACTTCCAAACAAGTACTAACGTATCGAACACCATACGATTACTTTGTAACCAGCCAGGAATGGATTTCACCAAGGTTTTTATCAGTGCTAGTCCCTGAAAGTAAGCATCTGAAGTTGCATTGGGAGGTGTTGCAGGTGGATTGGAAGCATCAGTGGATGCAGCAACAAGGCTCTCTTCTGCTAATAAACCAGACTGTGTGCTGGTTGATGCAGCAGCCATTGTAACATCAGATTTTGGCAGAAATTCAGAGAAAGCACTTGCAAGTATTTTCTGTGGTGATTTTGCAAGTTCATCCCTTAGTGGCTGACCAGCATCTGACCGAATTATATACATAAACCTGAATTGAAAACCCCCCCCCAAAAAAAAAAGAAGGAAAAAAAAGCAAATAAAAATAAAATGAAAAGAAAATGGAAACTAGTCAGCACTCAATCTTATGAAGTGCTTATAATTCTAATCTAGCACTGAAACTTACCGCCTGAAATACTTTGGGTCATTTAGTCGGGCAAGAAAATAATCAACTGCAAGGGGTGCATAGCGATTTAAAAATTTGGTGAGTGGAAGGCGGTATGGACAATTAATTTCACTGTAAACTTGTCCTGGGGGAAGAGCTCCTTCCAAATCAATAGTCAAGGTTACAAGCTCATCAAGAAACTTTGAAGCCGCAGCAGGAAGCAAGTGAAAAAGCTCGATTATAGCTGTGACAATAGAGAATAACATTATCGGTACATTGAGAGCTAAGGACAATAGACAATAACGTCATCACTGCATCAACAGCTAAGGATGATGCATCCGCAACACTTGGATAAACAGATTAAATGATTGAAGTAAAACCTGCAGCAATCTTTGGTTCTTCACCCGCCTTCCATGACTTCTGACTCTGTGCAAGCTTTTCAGGCTCCAGCCACCTCTTTAGATGCTCCAAAAGCTTACCACCCAATGTAACATTAAACCAATTGGACAACAGCTCAAGTAGACGGGCCAGGCCTTGCAGAAGGGGCATGCTCAGATTTTTTGTGTGCGCCAAATTGACTAATATTGGCCTAAGGCTACTTTGCAGAAGTTCTTTGGGCATCCTTTGATTGATTACCTAAATGCAAGCGACAGCAAAGAAAATGACCCAAATAAATCCCCAGCAGGTTCAAGAGCATGCATGTACAGCAAAAGCATAAAGAAATCTACAACTGTAACAGTTTCATATGGTAATTTAAGCTACCACAACAATATTATACTGCTAAATAAACAAGAAAACAATCGATGGAAAGACCAGACAATCAAGCACAGATGATCAAGGACACTAAAGATATTTTCAAGACAGATGTTCTGAGATAGATGAAGCAGCATCTGTAAACAAGCATCACCAAAGACATACAAACTTCAAAAACATCCTAGTCCAACAAAGAAGCATGAATTACAATATTATGAAGTCATTTTTACCTGTCGAAGGCCCTCTTTTGCAACAGCAACAATTTCTGGTGTCCTACAAGTCAGAGATTTAAAAAACATCGATATAATCTTTGCACGCAGTTCAGAATGATTTGGAGTCTTAAAATCAGCCCATGCCATTGTTGTGCAGAGTAGCTCAATGCAAGCTGTTCTAAGTTTTGTCAATGATGTCACCACTTTTGGGTTGAAAATCTTTGTAGCCAGTGCATTATCATCAGACTCAGCTATTTGCAATGCTTCTTGCAAGAAATTAACTAGCTCTGGAGTCAACTTCAGAAGAGGCGGCCTCAATGCTAAACAGAAATTTAATGCCGTAACTGTTCCAACCTATACAAGAAATAATCGAGTAATCAAATATACAAATAACTTGATATAAAAGTTTATACGTAGAACCAAAACAGCTGTCAGCAACAGCATATACCTGTTGGTCTACAGTCTTTAATTTGAGAGGCCGCATTATTAGAGGCTGCAGTAAAGGTTGATACCATGGCTCAAGTAATTCAGACACCTCACTGCCAGTTCTGCTAGCTAACAGTGCCAAGCATGACTGTACATTCTTTCTCACAATGATAGATGCATTCTGGTTAAACAACTCTTGAGCAAGAAATTCAACTACTCCTTGAAAACTTTGCTTCCGTGATTCACTATTAGCTTCATCAGCATTATTTACAACTCTAAGAACTTGAGTGAGCACCTGACTTGTCTCATCTTGCTCCTTGCTAGCATATATAGGAAGCTTTTTAAGGACATATATCAGACCACGTACAATCCTTACTTGAAAAAGGCATAGCTTCTCCCCAGTGACCTTTCCAACTAAGGCGCCTAGTCCCATAACGCCTCCCATCTGCGCTTGCCATGTAAGCCCATAGCAACAATGCAGAAGACGGGGTAAGAGCTGTTCAAATACAGGAACACGAACACTTGGTGGTGGAGAATATACAGGATTCATTGATGGACTAGATACAATCATTGGAGTACCAGGTCCTCTAGACATAATGACATCAGTATGCTTTGTACGAGCCAGAAACACAAGTGTTTCCGCAAACACATTTAATGCACCAAGAGCAGCTTTAGCATGGAGCCTGTTCTCATCTGCTAGTACATCAACTAGAGCATCTAAGAATATTAATGGATCCAGTTCCTTCAAATTTGAAGAAGCATTAGTTTTTGGCCTAGAACTGGCATGAACATTATTTGAAAGTGATGAAACCCCAAGTGCAGCAGTAGAAGCATTACTGGATGAAGAATCGACATGAAATATCACCGCAAAATGGCGGCACAAATTAATGACAAAATCATCAGTAGATTCCACAAGGTCCGGCTCACCATTAGCAGCAATGATAGTCATTAATAGAATCTTGAAAACAGACTTCTCAGCCATAAGTTGGGTCTTCGTCTTTACACCCAAGTCAGCCTGAAATGAAATGTTTTGTGAATTGCAGTAACAATAAATAATCCATAAAATACACACACTCTTAAAATGCAAAGCTTGCACAGAAATCAAGAGGGGGATCTAAAAGGAAGAATGAAGAATTCAAAGGCTTCAAGCAAAGACAATACAGATGAGACGGCAAAGGAAACACAAATGGATGACCTGTGCACTGCGTCAGTATTATTGATTATGAGAATGTTCAAATAGGAGTAATCAATAAAATAACAAACAAGGAAAGGCACTTCTTGCGGATCAATCAACTGCACAAACACATGGTTCTCAAATACAATTGTGGTTTTCTCACTGCAAAATACCAAGCTAACCTTTACTTCTGGTGACTCAGATCTCCTCAATGATTGATCAGCTGTAGACATCAGCAAGGAAGACAGCTGCTTCGGTGTACAACCTTCATCAGCAACAGTTCCAGGCAAATTGAGCTGAGATGTTAGACAAACACGCAGGAACTTCAGGGCTTGTTTCCTGTAGAAAGCATCCGTACCACCACTTTTGTGCATTACAGATGCCACAGCAAGATTTATACATCGGTCAAGTGGTACCAAGAATGGGGTTGCAGGCTCGAATGTCAGAATCAAGCGAAGCCCATGCTCAGGGTTCTCTTTGCACTCAAGTGCCAGAGGCTCTTTAAGAAAGCGCCTGTTTCGACCACCCAACTTGCCAAGAAGCTGCAGTGCTTTCGCACCCCAGAGATAGGGAGCAGGCCTTAAGTGAGACCACAAGACAAGAATCACTTCAGACATAACATTGGCCATGCTGGGCTCAAGAAAATCAGGATTTAAGCTATCAACCCAAAACTCAAGTGTTCGTAACCCAAGACCAACTAGGTCATCACTTCCTTTGAGACATAATACCAGTGGCTTCATAAGACGAGAAAGACAAGGTAACAATGAGCTCAGACGGGCAGGCAAGGTCAAGCAAAGCTCCAGCAACAGATCCCTCATATCCTCCCCAGTTGGCCCCTCAAGCATAGTCAATAGCATATTAAGGCAGGGCTGTAACATGGGGACCAAGTCCCGCAGTAAAAGTTCAAATTTACATCCTTGGAGTGCCCTAAACATTGTGCGAAGCAATTGCACATAACCAAGAGGCCTTTCAACTTCAGTAGCATTTTTCATGCAAAACTCCATTATAACAGGCACATGAGGCTGCAAAATCCGTTCAAATTCTGGAGGTGTTTTAACAACAGCACCAAAGATAAACCGGAAAAGATGCAAGGCCAGTTTTGCTGCAGGTGAATCAGGGTTCTTTAATACATCGAGCTTGTTGTTCACAAGAAAATTAACCAGCACATCAGCAAATGGCCGACACACTTTTGGGGCTGCTAAGAGGGTAGAAAATATATGGACGAGTTGAGTGTTGGCAATCATGCAGTCAAAAAGCTCAGACATACACAAAGAGAACATATCCATTAGATCTCGAGGTTCCATGATAGCCAGAATCTGTGAAAAGAGCTGAAGCATTTCCTTCTCCTCGTCTTTCTCCTTGAAGAGTGCTAAGCAGTGCACGCCACTTTTCAGGACTCCAGAGGCTTTCCACACCTATATAAGAGTTAAGTCAAATACAACTATTAAGCACAGAAATTCATATTCAAGATAATCAGCTTATCTGAAGTACCTCATCTTCTCTCATGCCCTTGAATGCCTGAGTCGAAGGTAAATTAGATGATGGTGGGACAAGCACCTACGATGTTCCACGTGTAAGAGAAAACACATCAGAAATAACACTCTACAACACAGCAATAAAGGCCAAATCAAAGACAAGAAATACTGCACATAGGCATTCGAAACCTGAGATCTAGGCAAATGTGCGTGAGTGATGCTCCATATTATAGTCTTCATTCCTGGAAGTGCAATCACCCATAAACTTTAATATTTAAAATTTAACAAAAAAGAGAAACTGTTATCTTTGTCAGCCAAAAAGGAAACAAGCACCAAAATTAGGTGAGAGCTTGACAAAATAATTGAACAAATATGAACGAAGAACTGCAGAAGGTTCAGGGAAATCAATTACCCATCACTAAGGTCTTAATCAAATGCTTACAATCATTAACTTCCTTAGAATGTTCCACAGGAACCTGCAAATTCAAAACGGCCTGCCAAAAGAAATTTATGAATGAGCAAGGCATAGAAATTCAAAATTACAGCAAAATGAGTAGTGATTTACCAACTCAGATTATGATACTAAATCAGCAATGATATTAATGACAACTTGTACTCAAAGACATGCAATATAGTGCAGAAAACAAATGAAAACTCCACGCTGCATTTATAGCTTTATTAAGAAGCAACAATGGATCGATTTCCTTCAGACCAAATGGAAAAATCGTTCCTGACAATTCAACAACGGAAAAAACAAAAACTGAATTGTATTAACAAGTATATTTTTAATAGAGAACATTTGATCCACATTAAATTCAGGGACAACAGTCAAAAGAGAACCAAATATTTAAGCTGAAAATGACTTTCTCTTTAAACCAGAATAGAAGTCAAAAGATATGACAATTTCAATGAAAAATGAAATAAGAAATTTGGAAAAATTGCCGCCTCAGTTATTGACATCGTTAAAGAAAGAGAAAATAGAGTTAATTGGGGGGAAAAAAACTAATTATGGCACAAAATATTTATCATGGAGCAAAGTATCCAACTGTTATTGAAAAATAAAACTGGAAATGTATCTCAACAGCTCTTGACATGAAGAAATGAGTTTATTTCCAACACAGTTTCACAGTAAGCTATTTTCTCTACCCTCCCATATTCCCTTATTGTCTTTCCTTCCTCTACATCAGCAATGTTAACATGTATAATTCTTCATCCAACTAAGGGTTTACCCAATTTTAAGCCATTACATGGTCGTGCAAAATTGCAAAGGAAATGTTAATGGAGTCAAATCAATGTCATTGCTTACTTGCCACTACACTGACCTAACAAGCACAACCAGATCCTCACATTTTCTCTATATAACGCAGTCCTTACACTCAAACCAGTAGCAATATTCTGTTTTCCTTCAACCCAAAATTTCAAGAGTAAAATTGACATTGATCCAAATGCAAAATTAATATTGCAGAACCAATATATCCTCACAAAAGTATCCCACTAACCTGCACCGGCAGTTCCAGTTTTGACCTCAGAGTAGCACGATCCTTTCCTTCCTCACCCTCCTCCAACAGCTATTAGCAGAAGCAAACATGATATTGCCAAACAAGTTGAGTGAAAACATAGCATGAAACAGCAGGCATTACAAGGCTAGTTAAAGTTATGAATCAAAAACAGCCCATGAACAATAAAAGGAATATCAATGGATTATTCAGATGAAAGGCTCAGCAACCAGCTTCATATCGATGATCAAGCCATGAAGACGCATTTGGACATTCACAAAAAGACATATACACCGCATATAATTCCAATAAGAGATGGAAGCCATGAGTGCAAAGAAATGGACACTGCCCTAGAAATAATGAATTCAAGGTTGTCTTAAAAACTGTTGAAACATGAAGACCTAAGCCTAAGCCCAAGCCCAAGCCCATTTAGAAAGGGGCTCAATTAGTTAGTTTACTACTTGATGTTTAAGTTGATTATTTTATGTATTATTATTAAGCTAGTTAGAATATATCAGATTAGATAGGATCTGATTTTGCCCTATTTTGAATTACAGGATCTAGGTTTTATCCTTTAGGTTTTCTATATGTATCGAACAAGTACAGCAAATAAAGATTGTAGCTGACCCTCAATTACTCAGCCGATAAACTTTACTTTGTTTTTCTTCAAAAACCAATAAAGTGCCAATAGGAGATTGCTTTAAATATAAACAAGAAACTTCCAATTGTTAGCCAACATATAGTAACCATAACTCTCTTCTCCGCTAAATTTGCTTATTCAATCTAACAACATCGACCATCCAACTTCTTTTGCTCTAAATGATGTATTTACAGTAGAGAAGCGTAGTTACCTGGGGTATTGTACGCTTGAAAGTACTGAATTTCCCAACAAAAGCATCTAGAATACGACCCTGTAGAGGAACATAATGCAAGTCATACCCAGAAAGTTATGGAGTCCAAAAAATACTACCAAACCATACAAATGCAGCAAAATTGTTCAACAGACCAATAGAACCCGTGCTTCATCCATAGACTGTTGATCAACGCCTTTCTCAAAAATTGGCTCCACCTAAATCCAATGAAAAGTATAACATGAGAAAACCTGTTAATGGATCAGCAAACAACTCCTACCCTCTTCATTTGGGAGAATAAGAGGTTGAATAGAAAACCTCTCTTGATGAAGAAGGACAAGACTACAGGAGACAAAACGCATTGTTAACCAAAAAGAAAACAGCAAGGACAAAAATAAATTATATAAAAATAAGCAGTACTACTAATTAATACAATACAGTCACTTTAGTACCTTCTAATAAAATTTGAATCATCTAAAAAGACGGTAAGAAAAAAAGAAGTTAAAAAACAACAAAAAAAACATTTAGACTTCTCGAGAATAAGCAACAAAAAAGAGTTCTCTCCTGGCATCCCGAAGAATAAACTTACGTATGTAAACTTATAAATTTAAAGCGCTTTTCATAATCAAATTAAAATAAGTGGGTTTTCTAGCCAGAAAACACAAAAGTGCTTTTTCAAGGCTGATCCAAACAGCTTAATATTTGGATGGCTTTAATCGACAAAGTTTTTGGGAGTGTAGTTACTAATAAGGACGAGAGTTTTATAATATAATACTCCATGACTAATTAAACTGAATATCATATGAACTTGATACATGTAATAAAACATACATAATAATCCAAAAGAAATTAAAATTATCAAACAATCCAATATTAAAAATATTAAAAATGAGTTTTATGCTAATACATGATTAATTGCCTCGCATATAAACTAATCTAATCAATCAATAAACATATATTTAGTTCCAGCATTGCATTAATTTCTTCGGTGAATGATAAAAATATTAGATATCTTCAGCAGAAAATTTCTCCTTCTTCGACCAAAAAGTCCTCATTCTCTTTGATTGTTGCAAATGTCCCATGTCAAATAGAAGAGATGAAATGCAAGGGTTATTTTCGGACGATTCAAAATTCTGATGGAACAATAAATGATGCAATAGAAGATGTGAATGGAGAAGCATGGACATAGGTACTTCTGGTTGAACACCGCCCTGGGCAATAAAAGGGTTTCAAAAGAGTATGTGTTGCTTGGGTGGATCTTTTTCTAACTGAGTTCTCCAAGCACAAAAAGCAGATCTAAACAGATCTTTAAGCCTAAATAAAATCAAAATAAACCTTATTTATAGAAAAGTAAAAAAAAGTTAATTTAAAATAGAAGAAAGTACTAAAAATAATTTAATTTAATTTAAACATCTAAACTCTTCTGCACCTAGAGCAAGCAGTCCCAATGTCCCATAAAGAAGCCTCTCGAAATAGAGCAAAGAAACCTAACAATAATGGTCAGCAATACAAGTATGCAATTAAACCCTCCAACCCCAATTTGAAGAAGTCAAACCATTGGAAAAGACCAGCAGCAAAATACCATGTAATTGCCAAGGAGTTGCTCGCTCAAAACAACAAATGAGACAACAAGATTCTAATGCCCCATTTGGTATAATGGAAACTATTTCAAGGATTTAGAATTAGAGTAAGAAAATGAATGAGTATGGGAATAGAACAAGGAATGGAACTCAAAATCGAAAGTATATTTGGTGTGTCCAAAAAATTTATGAAGAAATGCTTGTAGACTTCTAGTTTGGTATACATATTAGATTGATGAAAATGAAGTTAAAGAAGATGAAGAGACTGATGGCCCATTTAAAAAACCCACCCCCAAAATTACCTTCCCCTCATCACCAAATTCAAAACCGTCACCCACTCCTTTCTCCAAGCACCCCTCTCAACAACTCCATCCCCGACTTGTTATCATTCTCCACTATTGTCTCTTTTGGCAATTTTGTCACTCCCATGCTCTCTCACAACCACCCTCATGTTGTCAATGGCACTTTTCTCCTCAGCACCAAATCATCCCTCTCAACTTCCAACCTTGAATGTCTAAACTACGAATAAGAGCAGCAAAGAGAGCATACAAAGGAATTCAGAGATTTCTACTTAAACATGAAGGATAAAATGAAGCGTCATCGGTAAAAGAGCTATGAGAATGCGAATTCTAGAGTGAAGAAATGCTCCTCATCGCGTAATCACAATCACCCTTGTTGCTACATGTTGGTAGTGTGAGAGACTAACCTAGTTTTTCTTTTATAGATAGAATTGTTATCTCCTCGAATCATGATAGACTTTATTGAGTTTTATTGTAAATTATTCTCACCAAGATTATAGGAGGAGTTTAAGGGATTAGATCAAATTTGATCCTTCCCTTTTTCCTATACATGTAACACTTTTCTATCAATGAAATCATCAAGAGCTGTTACCACAAATTATTTCATGGTATCAGAGCTTTGGTCTAACAATCAATGGCGTTCAAATCAGCTCTAACGGGCCAAACCAAGGGCTTTCACCACCAGCAGTGGAAACTGTTTCCACCATCAAATGAGGAGAGCCCACAAGAACACAGTTTGGGTTCAAAAGGAGGAGGTTTGCTACAAAATTATTATTCTGTATGAGAGAGAGACAGAGAAAGAAGGAGAATAAGAGAGTTAGGAGAGACAGAGAAGGAGACAAGAGAGAGGAGAGAACTTATTTCATTCACATAACTCACAAATCTAGTTACAGCTAAACCGGTCCCCTTATTTATAGGCCTAAGCACTTATTAACTAACACTAACTAGCTTCCTCCTTTTTTTATTATATTTACACATCAATATCGCCTTCCCAAAGCACCCTTGCCCTCAAGGGTTGGATATATCAAGAAAAAAAAATTGAACACTAAATAGAAGAACATAGGTTCTTGGATTCTAGAGAGAGAGAGAGAATTTCTGTTGAACAGTGCTTTCTGTGCCACGTATTGTCTTGTCACTCTGCTTCCTTTCCACTGATGTGCTTTAGCCCATGCTATACTATTCCCTTTTCTTTTCTTTTCTGAAAACCGACAGTAAACCTCTGCTTTACAATATACTTCATCCCTTTTTTCTTCCTCATTTTTACCAACTAAAACCATTTTTTAGGGTCATGAAAGAGATATGCCAACTAGGCCTTTGACTTTTCTTTTCAAAAACAAGCAACCACATGGGAGCTTCTAAAGCCTAACAATGCATTTGTTTATTCTGAACTATTTGCTACTACTCTGCTCACAAGAACATAGACAAGGATGAAAAAGAAACAAAGGGAGAACGAGCAAAACAGAGTACCTTCTTCGTTGCTGGGGTTGACTTCAGAGAAATCTTTTGGAGCCTATCAACTAAAAGAACAAAAAACACAAAAGAAAGCAGAACCAGCGGCAACAACATCGACCTACATGCGTTGCACGACACACCATGAAAACATCCAAGAGACTCAAGAGTCGATGACCCACAAACTCCATATGCGAGTTTCGTATTCCTCCATGGCCTTGAATTGCACATTTCATTTAAGGTTCCACTCATTGACAATCCACTCATCAGAATTCATCTTTGCATTTAAGTTCTTCTCTATAGCACTCGAATCTTGTTGTATTGACCCTACAAGGTCCATACTTGTGGATTTGGCTCTGTTGCTGCCTTCAATTCCCCCTTAGCTTGTGCCCGTCTTGCACTTCTCAAGCGTTTCGCAGCGTCATCCTTTTACTGTCTCGAGGCGATTCTCGTACTCTAATGCAACCTTGAGCAGTGATCGAACAAGACCCAACTTTTTCTTGAGCAGCCAGGTCGTCTCCTTGATTCTTCAAGACCTCCTTTTCTTTTCTAGCATGCCTCTACAAGAATATCTCTCGCATTCTGGCCAATGATCGAGGTTCACGCATGGTTCTTGGTCTAAACAGCTGAATTGAAGAAGCAATTTCTTCCGTTAATGCGCAAACATATGCATCAACAAGGTAGTCTTCTGGTAAATCAAGATTAGTAGAGAGGGAGTCAAACGTATTGTTGAAGTATTGTTGAAGTCAGCTATGGAACCCTGTTGTCAAAGGTGCCACAGCTGAAGTCGTTCATCCATTGTAAGACGCCTCACTGCCTGAATGTGAGTAATGACCATAACTAAGGAATTGTAGTGGGAGGGCCGAAGATGGTTCGGCTCTGATACCACTATTATAGAATTATTATTTTGTGTGAGAGAGAAAGAGGAAGAAAGAAGGAGAATAATAGAGTTAGGAGAGACAAAGGAGACGAGAGAGGGGAGAGAACTTATTTCATTCACTTAACTCGCAAATCTGATTATAGCTTAACTGGTCCCCTTATTTATAAGCCTAAGCACTTATTAACTAACACTAACTCCCTCCTTTTATTATATTTACATATCAAGGTCTCAGTGCAAATTATGCAACATTAGATTTTCTTTCCACAATACTAATCACTCACCGCCTAAATGTAAATAACTACCTACAATGGTCTCGGAGTATGTTAATGTTTGTTCGAGGAAGGAATAAAGAGCAATACTTGACGTGCACGTCCAAGACTAGTAGATTTTGAGAAATTTCTTAAGTTTCGCAAACAAGGATCCTTTTTTAATCAGAAGAAACCCGAGCAGAAAGGCATCCTCATGGTAATGACCTAATTGGTGAACTCCATGACGGCAAAAATTAGTGAAAGTTATCTACTTGCAACATCAGCTAAAGAGATACGAGATTCAGCAAAGATGACTTATTTGGTAGGGGAAAACACAACAGCTATGATACAGGTAAAGCATCTTCTTCGAAAATTAATTCAAGATAAAACTGTGAATCAGTATTATAATGGTGAAATTGTGGCAACAAATAGATCTTTATGAGGTTCATAGGCCTACAGCAAGGATGGACTATAAGAAAATTGTCGACCAAGAAAGGTGCTATGAGTTCTTGCTTGGTCTAAATGACAGCTACGAAGATACGAGGGGTCGTATTATTAGTATGAAACCTTTTCCATCCCTGGAAGAAACATCCAACCTGATAAAGTGTGAAGAAAGCAAAAAGTTGTTGACTCGGAACGTCACCTCTACAATTGAGATGTCAGCCTTGGCTGTTCGAGAGAACTCAAAAGGAAAGAAATCAAAGAAATAGTGTGACCATTGTAACAAGGGTGGACATACCAAGGATAAGTACTAGAAATTAC